TCTTACTGTCATCTAATCGTGTTCACTGCTTTATCGACTCAACGGCCGATAATTACAGATTTCCAATTGGTGGTATTTCGTTGCAGATTTCTCCAATATCGTTGTTCTACTTTTCTATTTTTGTAAAAATAGGTTGTATTTTTTGAAAAATTTGGTTTACTGTTTTTTAATAAAAGTGATATTGTATTGTGTTGTTAATGCCATGTTGCACATTCGTATACATATACTTACAGACATATAATTTATTTCAACCTTATTAAGATCGGCATTTGATCAAATAGGAGGTGCACAATCAGCGATTGTGTAGAATCGAACTCGCCCGTTACTCGCTTCGCTCGCTCGACTCGCAAACTCAGACTCGTTCGATAAAAAATTACTTTGCTGACTTGGTACATAAATATCTATTATTGAAACAATTTTTTCAAAAAACGTCATTTTATACTCCTGCTTTAATTATTAACAGAAAAATAAGTCAATAATTTCACATGAATTGCTTTAATTTAAATTTAAATTACTCGTTTAATTTAAATTTAAATTAAAGCAATTCATATAAAATTATTCTTTTAATCAAAAAATGTTTCGTATAATAGCAAACTCCTGATTCAAAGTAAATGACAGGCGATATCGTGAGTGAAGAGCTTGGAGCCGCAACAGTGAGGAGAACAAGACTCGATTTGGGCTATAGCGTCATAATAAAGATGTATGTCATGATAAAGAAGAAGAAGATGAGTTTAAAATTAAACATTTATTAATTTAAATTTATATCCAACAATTCTTTTAATATTAAATTTTTAAATGGTGATTAAAATTTCTTTTTTGAAATCAAAGTAGAAATTGTTCTAAACCAAGCATAACATTTTCTAAGATCCTGCAATAAAATTATGTTAATTTTTCTCCAAATATTTTTTTATATTATTTTACCCCAGTCATTGAAGGATAAGACACAACACCCAACATCCCGAATTTGATGTTAAAAGTGAGTTGACTTAAACACAAGAAAATCAAAACGTCCTTTTTAAGTTTAACATCCGCATCATACCAATTCATGTCATAAATAGCCTCAGTTAAAGAAACGTTCTAAAATTAAAAAGATTAATTTCTTATCTCGTAGTATATTTAATTATTTACCGCATCAATAATACGTTGTCCAATTGAATTAAATATCATCAAAGATAATAAGCATGAGATCATGACACAAAAAACAAATATATCGAATCGCTTAAAAATATGATACAAATGATAAATAATTTAAATAACACAATTAAATACTAACCAAAGCAAACGCTGAAGCAACTAAAATAATGAACCCAACACTACAAATTCGTTGTAGCACAATTAGTTTTCCATAAACTTTATAAACAAAATTAAACAATCTAAAAATTTCTTGATGATACTGCAAAACTCGGCGCAGTTGTACGTTTTCTTTATCCCCAATTTTAAATTTAATTTGATTTATTAACAAAGTAATATGTTTTAAACGAATTATAATCAATTCAAACGAGTACGCAATCAAAGCTATCGCCCCTATAATCAAATTCAAAACTGCAACGAAGAAAAACATTTCCCGTACAACCAAAAATCCTTCAAACCACGGTTGGCGTTTATACGGCATATAATATCCCAAATATAAATAACAGGTGTTTCGAGTGTTATTAAAACATTTTTTCCTTAACAACATTGCATTCCATAGAATTGTATATGAGTACGGTGTGAGATAATAAACATATTTGAAACCGTATTTAACGAAATTATCGATAAAACGAACCTGGGTTGGAACTCCAAATCGATTAAAATCGCTTAAATCATTCATTAGGTTTATCATTTTGCCCCGTTTGTTACTAATTAATAAAGTTACCAGTACCAAATTTGTGTACATTATAAAGGCGAACACGTCGAACAAATATGAATAAAGATCTGTATGAGTATCTTAAAAAAATATTATTACAATTAAGTCTAGATTTTTTTTATCGAAGACTTACCCATAAATTTTTGTATGATGGGATAAATAATCCAGATTAAAGTTAAAATAATATTTAATATGATCCTGTTTTTATAAACTGGTTGAAGTGGAGATGCGTGAATTTGATCAAAAAAATGTTCCACTTTTAAAAAACCTAAGGTTTTAACCCACATCTTGTTTAAACTGTGTTTAAAAGCAAAATGAATGTGAATCAAACGATCGAGTTGTTTTTAAAGAAATTGTCCTTAATGGAATGGAATTAAGAACGATTAAATCGATTTTTATGAGGTACAGTTTAATGATTCGAAATAAAAAAATACTTTATATACCTATAACCATTTACTAACAGACTGTTGATTTTATTTATTAACAGGGTGCAAACCAAAAAAATTACTACATCGAAATTAACGAAAATTAAATGTTTACATTTGAAATAATATAAATAGATTAAATTTTCTTTAAAGTGCACTTTATTTCACTTTGATATCTTAACTAGTACTTGAAATACGAATTTTTTATTTTACACCATCCTAATTCATGTTGCGGGAAAAATTTTATTCAAAGCATCATAACCACGAGATTTAGGAAATCAAAATAATTATTTTTGGTATACCAACACTAGATAAAATTTGCGTTAAAATAATTTTTATCTCGTTATGATACTTCTGTTAGTTTTTAAGATATTGATATTTAAAATAATAAATATAGATTAAATTTGCTTTACAATGCACTTTATTTCACTTTGATATCTCAATCAGTTCTTGAGATACGAATTTTTTATTTTACATCACCTATTAACCGATTAAATTTGCGTTAAAATGCTGTTAGTTTTTGTTAGATCATTTAATCCACCTCTGGTGCGAAGTTGAGAAAAAAGATTTTCTAACACGTCTTGATTAAGTCTATGGGTTAAAAGATATTCAATACCATAATCGGTTTTTTAATCTTCATATAGGGCTTTTAAAGAATTAATGGACATTAGCACACCTTTTTGAAATGTTTGGAGTGATCTTTTATTCTTATATTTCATTTTGCCAATTGTGTCGTACATTTCATTTAAAATCTCATTTTGTAAATTTAGGTGTTTACCATAGCCACATTTCAACAAAATGCTATGGTCGGGAATATAAGAATTCATAATATCGAACCAATTGTTTACAAGACTAATGAAGTTGCTAAGCGCAGATGCTTGTTGATTAGAGTGATAATGAATTAATGCTGTAGCTGTGGTATGCGATAAGAGCTGCGATGCTAACTTGACATTCTGCCTTCTAGCGCCTTCAAAAGTGATGTGATCTATTGTTAATTTAAAACAACTGCTAACTTCTGTGTTGCATTCGTTTATAAGTTTTTCTAAGTATGTTTTGTTTATTGTAATGTCATTTATTGTAAATTCTGAATCTATCAACCAATTCCTAATTCATTTTAAAAGGTGAGGTGCATCCGCAAAAAAATAAATCTTTTTTGTAGTTGTTGGATGTACTGTATATGAGGATTCGTGTGTAATACCTAACTCTCTCCACAAACCAAGATTTGAGGGTCCACAATCAGACACACATGCAATCACCTCAAAACCAATATCATGCAGTTTATTAATTAATGTTAATAACAAAGTACCAGTCATTCTTGTATCAAAACCGGCAAAAATTGGCTGCTGCCAAGATCCAAACAGTCCCCTGGCGTTCACAACCTGCATTTGTGAATGTGGACCAATAATTTGATCATATTTCCTATCATACTCATACAGTTCTGCAACTTTCATTTCGTCAAATGACAAAACAACAAGCCTTTCTTGATCACTGTACCCTCTTCCAGCCACAGATAGAAAAAGTAGCATGTGATGTAAAATACCCTGTCTCATATTAATTTTTGAAGCCCAAGATTTTAGCGTTGATATACCTAACATAAATAAAATAAATTGATATCAATAAAATTATTGAATAAAAGTAAACAAGTAAAAATAATAAATTAACCTGGTAGGGGATAATTTAAATGAATCCGTAAATACTGATAGCATCGTTGACTAAGATATCTAAGAGTTTGTAATATCTTCTTCACCCCATTTTACAATCCGTTTGTTATGGATAACTTTTTCTACTTGCTTTGGTGTAAATATATGTTGTATTTTATTTTTTAAAATGTTTATTTCTTTAAAATTCTTTTGTGTAACATGTTTCATAAGACGTTGTACTTTTCCATTTAAAAAACAGTTTTGACGCCTAATTGTCTTTATGAGAACATCCTTCCTACGTAACTTTCTTTCCAAAACATCATTTTTCTCTGCTAATTCACATATTTTTCGTTTCAATTCATTTATTGTGTCATCAGTTGTTATCATATCTTCAGTTTGACATGCTACACTGGATTTTAATAAACAGTTTACATCATTTCCCTTTGATAATGGTTCTTTTGAAATATTTAACAATGATGTAGATGGATCAAGGTATTCGCAGATATTTGAAACGTCGTCTTGAGATGCTCCCAAGTTTAAAGTGGGTATAGCTGTCTTCTTTAGAAGCCGCCTACGTTTCAATTGCAACAGTTCCGCATGTAGGTCGCGTTCAAAATCTTCAGGACGAAAATGTAATGAAGACACCCTTGCTGTTGTAACATTAACTTCCTCTTTACATTTCATCAGCCATAGTTTCCGAACGTCTTCCTCTTTGGGTATGTTAAAAAACGATATATTTAAACCAATAACTGTTGATATAACATAATTCGAACGACAATTTTTAATTGCACATGAAACAGGCATCTAAAATTACAAATTTTGATGCGGGGTTATAATAAATCATAGCTTATCTGAAAATAATTACCTTGGTATTGAAATTATTAAAAAGTTTCTTAACACTAATTATAAATTTTCAACAATAAAAATCAGTAATAAACAAAAAAAAACTATTTTATAATATAAAATAACCGAAATGACAATGAAAAAAACAGAAATCGTATTACGGTGTATTGCGGCTGGATCTGGTGACGTCACGATGAGGGCATCTAAGGGGGGGAATATTTTCGTACGTTGAAAAGGTTGAGTCTGGCCAACCTGGTACAATACGCTTTACAAACCTTGATCAGTGCATGTTACCACTTATTTACAAAAATAATGCCGTCGTGGAGTTGCAAAAATAGCAGTAAGAACGGCTTTCGACTCTTCAGAGTACCACGAGAAAAAAAGAAAGGAAATTTGGCGTAATTTTATCAACAAAACGAAATAGTTTTAAATTTCCCGCGTGACTTTTGAGCCAAAATGGCGACCACCGTGGTACTTTGTAAATCTAGGGACTATAGTTTAAGTAATTTCTTAACTAATAGAGAAATTTACAGTAACCTAAAATTCGAGTTGAAAACGCCGATTTTACTTTGATTTTATTAACTCTAATTATTATATTATTTTTGTAATAAAATCGTGAGAAGTACATGTCAAATCGTGAGATTAAAGGTAATATCATGAGATCTCACGATAAATCGTGAGACATGGCAACCTTGGTCAGTAACATCATTAACCGAGGTGATAATAAAATCAGTCAATGTAGAAGATATACCAGTTGTACGTGTAGGCATAGTTATTATTTGTTTAAGAGAAAACGCTTCAATTGCTGACAAAAGACGAGAATAAGGACCATTAATATTTAAAGCATTCAGATTAAAATCAGTAACAAAAATAGACAAGGCATCTTCAAAAGATGTCAAAACTGCTGCAAATTTGCACGCGGTCTATAGACTATACCAATTATCATAGTAATGTTATTTAATTTGATCTTAATCCACATGTGCTCAATAAATGGATTCACCTCTGACATAAGTATTTCGAAAGAGTAATTGTTCCCAATATAGAAACCAACACCACCACCGCGACCAACCTCACGCCCAGCAAATACATATTGATAATATAAGTACGAAGGATTTCACGGCCGGTGTGAATTAAACTAAGATTAGAACTAAAACTAGAAACTTTCGGGTTTTGCCGTGCGTCTTTTAATAAAAGGTTTGACGTTTCGGATGCCATGTTGCAACCTTCTTCAGAAACTGGTTCGAAGTGACGAGATCAAAAAATCGGTAACTATATATAAGTCGGAAAAACTAATTACTTATCAGAAGTTTTACCAGCTAGAATGACTAGATCGAAATCGCAGAAAGGTGGTTAGTTCTCAGAGGTGTGTATCGTCTTATATGTTTTACCCGAAAGAACCGTAGGTGTATTTTCTTTGTTGTTATTATTAGTATTATTTTTCTTTTCTTTTTTTGTATTTAATTGATTGTATTTCATTTTGCATATACGTTATTATTATTATTATTTTTCTTTTCTTTTTTTTATATATTTAATTGATTGTATTTCATTTTGCATATACGTTATTATTATTATTATTTTTCTTTTCTTTTTTTTTATATATTTAATTGATTTTGCACAAACGTCGCCGATTGTGCAAGGTAAAATAAAAAAAATATTGGTAAAAAGTAAAAATTGTGCTATAGCATTAGTTATATTTTTCTTCTCTTTATTTTATTATTATTTTCTTTAGTTCTTTCTTTATTCTTTTGGGTGGGTTCGGTTGAATTCTTCTGCGTCATTTTAATATGCATAATTTAATGAGAGTTGCTCATTTAAATGTTCAGTCTTTGTCTGCTCACTTTGCGAATGTTACTAACTTAGTAGTTGAGAATGAGCTGGATATTTTTGCGATGACCGAAACTTGGGTTTACTCTCATTCCAATTATAATGTGTTTGCTTTGCAAGATTATCAATATGTTAAACTAAGATTAGAACTAAAACTAGAACTAACACTAGAAACTTTCGGGTTTTGCCGTGCGTCTTTTAATAAAAGGTTTGACGTTTCGGATGCCATGTTGTAACCTTCTTCAGAAACAGGGTTCGAAGTGAAAGCCTTAGTACTTATATTATTAACCTTTATGGGGAGGATATCAACAAACAAATCAAGGATTTGGATAACTCACGAATTAGACAACGCAAGCTGTTGAGCAGTTTGGCCTTTCTACGAAGATGCAGAGAGAAGAAAGTAACGCCAACCTTCTTGAAGATGAAGCACCACATCGACTCCGCTGCAGCACGTAGAATTTTGATTAGGACAGAACAAGCACTGCTACGAGAAAGAATCCACAAGACCTTCAATGATCTACAAAAAATAAGTGAGAAGTTACTACGACTCCACCTCTCACTTTCCAATTGTATATCCGGAGAAGACTGGGACAAAGTGGACAGACTAACAATGGAGAAGGCTAATCGCGAATTTCAGAAGACCCGTGACACACACATCAAGAAGTTTGAATCTCTGGAACGCCGGTCGCAAAAGAAGAAAGGTAATAGTTTACCAGTAGAAACAATCGTCATTAACAGATCGAATGTCCCACTAACGAAAGACGAAACCTCTGTGCTCGCCAAAGGATTGAACTACGCAATCGCCCCGAAGAAGGTCCCAAAGGAGGAAATCATCTGCGAAGTGGAAGCAGCTGTTCGAGGGATGCCTGCACTGAAAGCCGAAGAGATCCGACAAGAAGTTGCGAGAGTATTGAAGTCAGCAAAACCACCAAAATCCAACTTGACGGTTGGTGAAAAGAAGGCACTCCGATCTATAAAAGAAAAATCAGAAATCGTCGTGTTACCAGCAGACAAGGGGAATGCCACCGTTGTTATGGACAGGAAAGAATACGACGACAAAATGATGAACTTACTGGACCCAGCCACCTACAGGAAGATCAAGAAGGACCCCACAGACAAAATCGTTAGAAAAATGAAGGAACTGATAAAATCCACAGGAATTCCAGCAGAACAGCAGAAAGGTTTGTTTGTGCAGGCGCCGGTACCACCAAGAATCTACGGACTACCGAAGATTCACAAACCAGACGTCCCCCTCCGCCCTATCGTCAGCGCCATCAACTCCCCAACATACCAGCTGGCTAAACATCTTGCAAAGATTCTGTCCCCCTTTACAGGTAACACGGAATCGTATGTCAGGGATTCTACACATTTTGTGGAATCGGTAAAAGGTGTAAAGCTGGATGCTGGGGATATGTTGGTAAGTTTCGATGTGGAATCCCTTTTTACTAGGGTACCAGTTAAGGATGCTGTAGAGGGTCTTCGCCGAAAACTCATTCCGGAGGGTTTACCAGGATACGTGCCAGATCTGGTGGAGTATTGCTTATCGTCGACGTATTTCAGCTGGAAAGGAGAATTTTACGAGCAGTTCGAAGGGGCAGCCATGGGATCTCCACTATCGCCAGTTATAGCTAATTTCTACATGGAATTATTCGAAGAGGACGCTTTGAAGAAGAGCCAGTGGAAACCAAAACTATGGCTCCGATATGTGGATGACACGTTTGTGATATGGCAACATGGTCAAAAACGGCTCCAAGAGTTCTTGGATCACTTGAACTCTCAACATCCTATGATTAAGTTCACCATGGAAACAGAAACTGCCAAAAAACTACCTTTCCTAGATGTGTTGGTCACCAGGACGACAAATGGAGATATAGAACTTGGTGTATACCGAAAGAAGACCCATACCAACAGGTATTTACAGGCATGTTCACATCATCATCCCCAACAGAAGAGGTCCGTGATCCGTACATTATTTCAGCGAGCAGCGAGACTATGTGAAGGAGAGAACTTGAAGAAGGAGCAACACTTTCTACGAGGCGTGCTGCAGAAGAATGGATACACTTCGAGGGACATCAACCAGGCCATCAAGCAGCGAAAGCAGAAAGAGGACACGGTAAGTACAAAACCATTTGGATTTATCTGTCTTCCCTATGTTTCAGGTGTAACGGAACGAATTGCTAGGCACCTCAAGAAGAACGACATCGTAGTGCGGTACGGCACGGTCAGCAAAATTCGGAACACACTCCCGATAGCCAAGGACAAACTAACTCCATTAAAAGGAGCGGGAGTCTATCGACTATCGTGTAGGTGTGGGTTTATGTTGGCCAAACTGGACGCAACGTCGAGTGCCGCATCAAGGAGCATGGAAGGCTGAAGAAGATCCAGCAGTCGGCGGTTCCGGAACATTGCCATGCAGAGGGGCACCGAATAGACTTCGAACAAACAAAGGTGCTGGCTAGGGACAACAGATACTACCAAAGACTGACAAGAGAAGCCATAGAGATTCACCGACATAAAAATAACGTCAACAGAGAGGATGGCTGGGAGCTTAGCTGGATATGGAAGATGGTGGTGAACACGAAGACCTCTTCCCGCCTCACACCGGATGCGACGCAATTAGTTATTAATTAGTTTGTAATTAGCGTTAACTGATTAGTAATTAGTTTTTCCGACTTATATATAGTTACCGATTTTTTGATTTCGTCACTTCGAACCAGTTTCTGAAGAAGGTTGCAACATGGCATCCGAAACGTCAAACCTTTTATTAAAAGACGCACGGCAAAACCCGAAAGTTTCTAGTGTTAGTTCTACTTTTAGTTCTAATCTTAGTTTAACATATTGATAATCTTGCAAAGCAAACACATTATAATTGGAATGAGAGTAAACCCAAGTTTCGGTCATCGCAAAAATATCCAGCTCATTCTCAACTACTAAGTTAGTAACATTCGTAAAGTGAGCAGACAAAGACTAAACATTTAAATGAGCAACTCTCATTAAATTATGCATATTAAAATGAC